ACAAAGTAAAGAAATTGAATTAGTAATAAAAAATGTAGGCCTAAATGTCTTCACTGATAAATTTTATCAAGTATTTAAAGAAGAAATAATACAAATCCTACACAAACTTTTTCAGAAAAAAAGAAAACTATACACTGATACCCTTGATAAACATAAATGTCAAAATCCTTAACAAAATATTCACAAACAAAATCCAAAAACATAAAAAAGTGTTGTACACCATGACCGAGTAGATTGATCTCAAGAATACAAATTTGGTTTAACATATGGATGTCACGTAACGTAATACATCATCTTAATGAAATAAAGGAAGAAATCACATTATCACTTTAGTGATGGAGAAATAGCATTTGACCCAGTCACTCATTCATGATAAAAAACCCTCAACAAACTAAAAGTAAAATGAAACTTCCTCAACTTGATAAAAGGCATTTTAAAAAACCCTACAGCTAATATCATACTTAATGGTAAAATAATGAACTCTTTCCTCCTGAGACTAGAAACAATGCAAGAATGTCTGCTCTTACCACTTCTACTCAGCCATGTACTAGAAATTCTACCCAGTGTGAGAAAATGTTTAAAAAGGTAAATAAATGGAGAAACATTCAATTTTAATGTATTGGAAGATGATATTAAGATGGCAATTCTCTGCAAATTAATCTACAACTTCAAAGAAACCCTTATCAAAATTTCCACAGGCTTTTATTTTTTTGTAGAAATTGAAAGATGCTCCTAAAATTTATATGGAAATGTAAGGGAACAAGAGTAGCCAAACATTTTGGGAAAGAAAACAAAACAAGAGGCCAACTCAGTGGCATTGTGCTTATGTTCCTGTTGTCTGCTTCGGCAGCCCCAGGTTCACAGGTTTGGATCCTGGGCACAGACCTACACACTGCTCATCAGGCCATGCTGTGGAGGCATCCCATATACAAAAGTAGAGGAAGATTAACACAGCTGTTAGCTCAGGGGCAATCTTCCTCAAGCAAAAAGGAGGAAGATTGGCAACAGATGTTAGCTCAGGGCTGATCTTCCTCACCAAAAAAAAACAAAAAAGGAAATTTGGATGACTTTTACTTCCTGATTTCAAAACTATGATAAAGTTACACTAATCAAGACAGTATAATATTGGAGTAAGGATAGCTATTTAGATCAATGGACACAATTGAAAGTTCAGAAATATAGCCTTACATTTGTAGTCAATTGACTTTCATTAAAAGGGTCCAAGAAGATTCAATAAGGAAAAAATAGTCTTTTCAGCAGTGGTTACAGGAGAATTGAATATCCATATGCAAAAAGTGAACTTAGATCCTTACCATACATCACATGCAAAAATTAATTCAAAATTGATCACAGACTTAAATGAAAACCCAAAACTATAAAACTTCTAGGAGAAAACCTTTGTTATCTTGAGCACTCATGTGACACTAAAATCAAGATCTTAAGGGAAAAAATTGATAAATGGGACTTCTTCAAAATTAAAAACTTTTGCTTTTCAAAAAACATCACTGAGAAATGAAAAGACAAGCACGCACTAGAAAAAAAAGTGTGTAAATCATATATCTAATAAAAGACATCTCTAGAATGTAAAAATACTCTTACTGTTCTATAATAAGAAGACGAACAGCTCGATTGTAAGGGAACCAAAAGATTTAGACATTTCACCAGAGATGACATATGAACGACCATAGAACATAAAAACATTATCAGTATCATTAGTCAGTAGGGAAATGTAAATTAAAACCTCAAAAAAGAGACCAATGCATACTCACTAGAATAGCTTTAATTTAAAAAACTGACAGTACCGGGGCCGGCCCGGTGGCGCAGCAGTTAAGTTCGCACGTTCCGCTTCCCGGCGGCCCGGGGTTCGCTGGTTCGGATCCCGGGTGTGGACATGGCACTGCGTGGCAGCCATGCTGTGGTAGGCGTCCCACGTATAAAGTAGAGGAAGATGGGCACGGATGTTAGCTCAGAGCCAGGCTTCCTCAGCAAAAAGAGGAGGACTGGCAGTAGTTAGCTCAGGGCTAATCTTCCTCAAAAAAAAAAAAAAAACTGACAGTACCAAGTGCTGGAGAGGATAGAGAGGAACAGGAACTCACACATTCCTGGTAGGAATATAGATTAGTGTAGCCAATTTTTAAAAGTTTGGTAGTTTCTTAAAATTTAACATCTGTTTACCATAAAACCCAGCAATTCTACTCATAGGTTTCTACCCATGAGAAATAAAAACATATATCCATCCCAAAACTTGTGCTTAAAGGTCTATCAGGGCTTTATTATAGTAGCCCAAAGCTGGAAGCAATTCAAATCAATAAACAAAATATGGAAACAATGTAACACTGCTCATCGACAAAATCAAACTATTGGTACATGCTACAACATCAATGAACCCATACAAGGAAGCAAGGTCAAAGAAGCCAGATTCCAAAGACCACACGTTGCGTCATTCCATTTTAGTGAAATTTCTAGAAAATATAAATCTATACAGAGAGAAAGCAGTCAGTGGTTACCTGCGGCTGGGAGTAGGAGCTAAGACTGACTGCAAATGGGCATGAGGGAAATTTTTGGGTTGGGGAAACGTTCTAAAGCTAGATTATGAGGTTTGTTGCACAACTCCATAAATTTACTAAGAATTATTGCATTGTATATTGCATTGAGTGACTGATTTTATGGTGTGTAAATTATAACTTCAATGAAGTTGATTAAAAAGTGACTATACATCTTTCAGAATCCTACTGCTGCAATTCCGGCCTCAGAGGTGATGGCCAGGGCTTTGCGTAAGCCAGTTAGGCTCTAGATGGAAAGTGTTTGTGTTCTTTCTATCCAACAGTTGTGGCTAGAATAAAGTCTGTGGGTATAATGAACACAGTTCTAGTTTAACAAAGGCAATTGGAAATCAACTCATACCTTTTGATAATCATTCAATCTTTTTATAAACTAAAATTTTTCTTTTTCTTTTTGGAGAAAGTTCTTTTAAAAATCAAGTTAAAATGTTTTTGATTTTGTAGCACACTTCAAGAATGAAAAATCTTTGGGAAAAAACGCTTTGGGATTTTTTCATTATTTTTGATTACGTGTGTAACAAAAAAGCTGAAAAAAGAGCTCATTTTAAAGGTAAGATATTCTTTCACTTCACTTTTCCTTTATATGTCCTTTACTCATTCCAACAACATATGTCTGTTTGTATTTTCTAAGCTCTGATTTTTCAGAACTCTCTGCTTTCATTTTATCAAATCTTACTTTTTGGTGGAACATGTTTTTACTATAGTATTAGTTAGGGTTCCCCAGAGAAGCACAACCCAGAGGATATATCTAATGCATAATACATGTATTAGTTGGCCCTCAGTACCCATGGGTTCTGCATCCATGGATTCAACCAACCACAAATTGAAAGGCCTATGATGGTTGCATCTGTACTAAACATGTACAAACATTTTTTTTCTTGTCATTACTCCCTGAACAATACAGTATAACAACTATTTATAGAGTGTTTACATTGTATTAGATATTATAAATAATCTAGAGATGATTTGATGTATACAGGAAGATGTGTAGGTTATATGCAAATACTACACCATATAAAAATATAAGAGAATTGAGCATCGTGGATTTTGGTATCCATAAGGGCTCCTGGAACCAATCCCCCATGGATACTGAGACAGCTGTATTTTACGAGGAGGAACTGGCTCATGCCATTATGGAGGCTGAGAAGTCCCACAATCTGCCATCTGCAACCTGGAGACCCAGGCAAATCAGTGATGTAATTCCAGTCTAATTCTGAAGGTCTGAGAACAGGGGAGCTGATGGCCCTCCCAAGGGCAGGAGAAGACCGATGTCCCAGTTCAACCAGGCAGGCAGTAAGGGGTGAATCCTCCCTTCCTCCACCGTTTTATTCTATTCAGGCCCCAACAGATTGGGGATGTGGTCATGCCCACCTACCCTGGGGAGGAAAATGTGCTACACTCAGTCTACTGATTCAAATGCTAATTGCTTCCAGAAACACCCTCACAGATACCCAGAAATAATGCCTGACCAGACATCCAGGTGTCCCATGATCCAGTCAAGTTGACACACAAAATGAACTGTCATAACTATTCTATATTATGCTTGCCTTCATTACAGACAACAACATTAATTCTAACAGGAACAGGAAATTTAAGATCTGATCCTACTGCTTCTTTTGCTCGCTCTCTGGCCACTGCCCTCATTATCAATTTGGCCTTCCCATTCCGTGCTTCAGTGTTCTCATTTGTAAAATGATGGATACATACAAGTACCTTATAATGTTACTTTGAAGTTTGAAAGAGATAAAATATTTAAAGTACGTAGTACATCCTTGGCCCTCAATAAAGATTGGCTTCCTTTGCCTTTTCAACAAATGTTTGTCAAAAGAATGAATGTTGGGGCTGGCCCTGTGGTTGAGTAGCTGAGTTCACGCTCTGCTTCATTAGCCAAAGGTTTCGCTGGTTCGGATCCTGGGCGCAGACATGGTACCACTCATCAAGCCATGCTGGGGTGGCATCCTACATGATACAACCAGAAGCACTTACAACTAGAATATACAACTATGTACTGGGGGGCTTTGGGGAGAGGAGGAAAAAAAAAAGAAAGATTGGCAACAAGATGTTAGCTCAGATGAATGTTGAAGGTAGGACATTTATAATAAAATCTCTCCATGGAAATAATATCACACATGAAAATTATTAGATTTTTAGACCTATCTATAAAGACTGGTTTAATCCATTATATTGCTCTGTGATTCTCAATCTGGGGTCTATATATTACAAAGTATATACAATAGCATATAAAATATACAGAAAATCCAGAATAAACGTTACTTATGTTTTGGAACTGGCTATTTTTATGAATACAGTCATGTGTTGCTTAATGACAGGGATACATTCTGAGGACTGTGTCATTAGGTGATTTCATCATTATGCAAACACCATAGAGTATACCTACACAAACCTAGATGGTATAGCCTACTACACACCTAGGCTATATGGTAATCTTTTGGGACCACTGTCACATATGGGATCTGTCATCAACTGAAACATTGTTATGTGTCCTATGATTGTATAAATAATCTAAGAGATTTTCAAACTTAAATAAATATAGCAAGAAGTAGAATGCAAAATACTCATGAATGTTTAAGATAAGTCATAAATCTTCAGAAGAATGTTCACAGAGGAAAGAGGTTTGGGAAAATGAGTTTACACAACCTCTGTCCTTTGATGAGCACTTGGGTGAAAAATCTAATCCTCTCTCGGCCAGCTTCAAAACAGTAAGTTCATAATGGTACTTCAGAGCCAACCTTCAAAGTTTACTATTGTTGCTATGGGACAATATCGCACTGGAAATTAGTTACAGAGACATGAGTCTACACCACTCCCATCTCTACCTCACTACCTTTTCACTGGCCATAACGCACCTTGACTTGTCTCAAACAGTGGGAAAGGGAACCAAATTGAGAGTCCCAAGCTGGAGGAAATGGGAGTTCATGGTTCTTTTTTTTTTCAAGTAATTTTTTTTTTCTTTTTGGGAGTTCATGGTTCTTGAGTGAGGATCCTCAGTAGTAGGAGAAAGGATCGAGGTAGAGATCTTGCAAGATTTGGAGGGAGTTCAAGTCTTCTGCAAGTAAGCTCAGAAAGTGAAGTCTTCTCCTCCTCAGGTGAGAAAGGAGAAGATCAGGCTGCTTAGCAAGTCCTTGACAAATGGCAGTGATGGCTAAGGTCTTCAGCTTCAGGAAGCCATCCAGAGATGAAAGACCTGTAGCTTTAAGGACAGCCTGTTGACCCTCTGCCATTATGGGTCATGGGGCGATTAGGGAAAAATGTAGGGGAAGGAAAAACATCTCAAAGAGGATGGAATAGCTGAAATGCTTGATGAGGGAAGCCTGTGGTGGCAATAGAAGTAAAGAGTTACACAGAAGGAAAATGAGTCCCTAGTCAGAGTGGCCCTTCAGAGTGGTCGCTTGTAAAGAAGGGATGCTCATATGGCAGACATTCCAAAGCTTGGGACTCCTGTATACATACTAGATTACCTGAGACAAGATAGTAGTATATGACATATATGAATAAACAGTAGGGAGTAAAGATCATGAACTGGAGACGAGGAAGACACAGCTGTCTCTTAGATGTATCTTGTTTGGCTTGCCCATTGCTTTCTAAACAGGAGAGAGTGTCACATACATATTGAGATTTCTGGATTTTACTGAAGAAAACAGCATGAGATCAGATAAAACGTACTCACATTCCAGCAAGGCAACATCAACTGGAGTGTGCACTCTCCAGCTGTCCACAGTCTCCTCCGTGCCCTATTGTCTCACATTCAGCTCTCTTTACTCATGTAAGTGAATCAGCCAGATCCTGGAGGCATGTAGGATTTTAATCCCTGCCAAAGACTAAGTATTCCAGGAGGCTCCATAGCATTCATTTCTTTATTAGAATTGACTTAGGGAGTCCTACGTCTCGGAACTTGTTTAACCACCTGTCCTAACTTAGCTATCATTAAATTAAATGAGATGTTATATATAAAAACCACTTACGACAGTGTCTGATGGAGAGCAGATACTCAATACTAACAATAATCATACTATTAACACTTATTATCGCTTCTAGGAAATGAAAATCAATGTTGAAAACCTTCATTCATATTTTTCACTGATTCAGTCCAGCCAGTTCTCACCATTCACTAATACTAATTTTTCCCCTCAGAATCTTTTTACTCAAAATGAATCAAATCCGCACTTATCAATGGGTCAATATGAACCTGGCTGTCCCTATTGAATTCTACAAAGTACAGTGTTACCTGGTGTTGCTTATTAGCTTGTTTATTAATGACCTGCTGATGGAAGAGGGAGCCTGACAACCAAACTAGATGTTAGCAGCTCTTCTCTGGAGAAGAAGATTGAAACGCAAAGTGAACCATTTTGAAATAAAGCAGGGTACTCCTAGGATGGACTTCAAAAGGAGAGGTTTCTTTGTAATGTATTTAAGGAAGAAATTAAAATAAACTGCATGAATAGGAAATGCAGTCAGAAGTGCTTGGAGCGAGCACAGCCCTAAAAGCTGTGATCATCTCTGAAGACTTTATCAGGGAGTGGCCAGAGAACTCAGCCAGCTGATCCCAGCCTTTTCTTAAGCTGAGGAGGGTGCTTGAGCTGATACCAGGGAATATGGCTGGAGCTAGGGCAGTGACCCACCGGCCCAATCAGGCGAGGGCCCCGTGTGCTTTCTCACAGCCCAGGGCTCCCTTCCCTCCGCGGAGAGCTGCGCCTGGAGTCAGATGGTTGAATTTGTCAAACATAGTGAGGATGGATGCGTTGGGTGCTTCTCGTGCCTCAGCACCAGTCAGGTTTTCATTTGAAGCCCCTCTTCAATGTTTCTGTCTACCCCTGAGCTGGAACTCTGGAAAAGTGCAGGAAAGAGCAGTGACAGTTATTAAGTGTAAGAAATACCCTCTGGGAAGACAGGCAGGAGGATTTGGATGATGTTGCTGGAGGAGGAGAGGAAATCTCAATGTACTAGTCTCCACAAAAGAGGATCGAGATGATGTCCGTAAGCAGGCAGTTAAGGTGAGGCATAATAAATCAAAGAATCAGGGCTGTAGAACAGCAAAGATGCTTAAACACTGTGCGTTCAGATCCCTCATTTGACTGGGTGACATGGAGGCTTAGAACGCATCAGTCACTGCCTTATCTGCAGGTGGTGTCAGAAACGGGGAAACCTCAGGACTCCTAACCCCTCACCTCCTGCTTTCCCCCTTCGTAAGCCACTGAAAGTATATTGCCAGGGGAAGAAAGAACAAACACAGGCCTGGGAAGATTTTAAAAATCGTCCAAAGTTCCCAATGGGCAATAGATGAATCAGTATAAAACTAGCTTCTACATTCCCCTCTCTGGCTGATCATTAAATCATTCTTTTCCTCTGAAGCTCTGGTAAAACCTGGACTTTTCCAAACATTTTAAGCCAAAAGCTACCAATCTACCTTGAATAAGATTCCTACAGCTAGTAGAACTTTTAACAAAGATGCTCAAGGTCTCTCTTCAACAGATTTTGCTCAAAACCTTCCAAAAAAAAAAAAAGCGCCATTTTCTGCTATGAGAAGATCGGGTTTATTCTTATGGGATCATATTTTTCCTTCTTTTTCTTTTTTGACTAGTGAGAATTCAAGCTTTCCCTATGTTTGGTTGTCCTCAGCTGTGGCAAGGAAACAATAACATTCGATGTGACTTTTGTTTCCGCTCCCTGTAATTTGAGTTGACAGGTCCAAGTTACCTCCGTTTCCATAGTGCCTTCCGCTGTCCAAAAGACACTCTTGCTACCTGACAGCTCCATGGCTTGTACCTGGGAGTTTCAGGTACAGAGGCTGAGGACAATGGCAGGGTCCTCCCATTAGGAGAACATCCTTTCAGCATCTGGTGTGAGGGCCCCTGGCATAGAGTTACAGGCCAGATATGCATCAGGATGGTGCAAAGCTGTCTCCTTCCTTTCTCTTTTCGTTTCTCTCCCTGTCTATCCCACAAGTCTTCCTCAATAGCGAACACTATCTGAAAGTTTTCGGTGTGCTGTCAAGCTCCAAACTAGAAGCAAGAGACTCTTTCATTTTCTTCCAGGAAACACGGCCAGTATGAAGCCAAGGCCCCAGGTTCGTAATCCTGAAGTCAGAATTATCATCGCAACAGAGAACAGAGAATCAGTCATTTCAGACGGCTTGAGCTCCCAGAGGGTGCTGGGGGGCGCATGGGCTTTTCCGACCTCAGGCTGCGGTGGGCCTGCTTCTATCATTACCAAGCCAGGGAGGCCTCTCAGGTGACGGGTACACTGCGTTCTTCCTCAAGTTCATCTCCAGATTGCTCTAACAGTTCAGCAACTTACTTGTTTCCTATCGCCTATTTTTATTTTATTTATTTATTATTTTTGGTTTCTTTTTCCAGTCTGGTGTGATTTTACAAAGACATGACAATTTATATTAATAAACTCCTGGTGTTTTCAAGGTTAAAATGAACCCATCAGAACTGATCACTGGTGGCTGATGATGACTTCTGTCAACTCTAGGCAAACGCTTAAAATTCTTAAGGGCTTACTAAGCAAGAAAGCCTGTTGCTTATGCAAAATGATTTAACTAAAAATAACGGGCCAGCGGAGAAAGTGACTCAGAGACTATCAGCTATTGTCTCTCAATTCCATTCCTTTTGATCATTAACTAGTGCATTTCTTTATTTCTTGTGATAAGAGTCATGGCACTAGTGAATTCTTTTTTGTTGCTGTTACTGATTAGTTATGTCAGTTGAAGCATTTTTACTTTCTTCTTAATTTTGTATTTCATTCCTAGTATTCAAAAGTATTTTTCAGAAATGCAGTGTTAGTTACAGAGATTATAGATTGTCTGCTGTAGATTATAGACTGCTGAAACTTGAATATAGTGAAAAGAATACATGTTTTAGTAGGGAAGAAGTATGGTAAACTCTTATTTGCTTTATTCCTTCATATACAAGCTTTATATTTTCAAATTTTGTACAATGGAATGCATCTTAGAATTGATGTGTGCATTTAATGTAGAATTTCTTTTCTCGCTGCAAAGTTATTTAATCAGTGATGTACTTTGATGGCATCTTGCAAATGGAGTCATGTGGTGATTATAATACCTTATATCATGAGCATTGTAAAGCACTTTTAGTTCTGCTCATTTGCAGATAATGTGTACATTTTGCATACTGGTGTACCTAAATTCTATAGAAAAATATATATAGGACATCCTGTCTTCCCTTCTCTACTCAAGCGATCAGAATTTCCTAGATAGTAAAAGGGGTCATGTCCAAGAAAACTCAGGACAGATTTCAGAAAAGGATAGAAATAGCAGCAGAAAGTTAAGACTCTATTAAGAAATGCATCTGTACGTGAGACCAGCTCTCCTCTACAACTCCTGCAGGAAGCCACTTTACTTCCAAAGTTGAGCTCTCATCTGTAAAACCAAGACAATAAAGCAACTCTCTCAAGACCACAGCGAACCTCTTGTGAGTTCTCTAAGCTCAAACACAATGACAAAGAGTTAGGCATTACTCAAAAATTTTGACGGTTAATATTTCTTTCTTTAACCAAACTTTAGTGTTTGACCCAATATTGATGATTGATGTTTCTTCTCAGTTGTCTGCTAATACTGTTTCTAATCTCACTCTTCAGAGTGAGCTACACTCTGATCGCTAATGCCAGATGTTATGAAGAGGAATTGCTTAAAAAGCAGGAAGAATAATGTTCTTTTAGGACTCCCTCAGTATTCTTAAGAATACTGGTGGGTAAAGGCAGTTCCGAGAGTAATTTGAAATAACTTAAAGAGAGGAAGTACTGCAAACCCAATATTTCTCTCAGAAGCCACACTACAAGAGTATTTTATTGACCAGAACTAGACTCGTCAAGATTTGGTATTATGATTCTGGGGACACTAGGAAAGAAGAGTTGGAGTCTTTTGGATGGTATCAGTTCTTTCCAATTTCTGTGTGCCCATATTTATCTAAGAAATGATTTCTGTTTTAATTATTTTCTGTCAAGCATAGAGTATTTTCACACGCGACATTGAAGGACCATGGCTTAAAACTTGTCAACACTGCCATTCCTTAGAAAAAATTGGGAGTGTTGTGTGCCTATATGGCTAACATATTTCTCTAGCTACTCATCACATTTCCTATTCCATGGTACTATTCAAATGTCTGTCTTTCCCTTGAATAATCACAATGCCTTATTCAAATGAAAAATGACAGCCCACATGGTATATACATGCTCCTAGTTAAATATTCAGCATTGAAATCAAGATTTAGAGAAAAGCATAAAGATCCTATAGTGTATAGGACATTCATAAATTATGCTTCTGATGAATGCTTGGTCTAGGTTTTTCATATCCCACTGGTCAAAAACAGATTTGCTAAATTTCATCCAATATGGCGGCTCATAAGCAGTGGCGGCATATGTAATAACATGCCAGGTCACCATTGACAGAATATTCCCAAGGCTAGCAGTTATCTTGTCAATAAATCCACTTTGTCCCATGTGTAGCAATTTCCAGAGAAGGCAGCTGAATTTCCTCTGCATTGTGATCAATATTGTGCTGTGACAGGAACAGCAGAGAATGTGTTAATTCTGTTAATGAGAAGCTGGCTCAGAACACAGGAATTCACATCAGGGAATTATCAAAATAAAAACTGTGGTGCAAAATATTACTTTCCCACCACTCCATGTCCCCAGTAAATCTTTTTGTGAGTCTATTAACACACTAGACTCAAAAAATATAACTTTTCTGCCTGGGCCCATCGTGCTAACAGGGGAGTCATTGTGGTGGGAATGGCTTCTTTCTTTCTCAAGAATTCTACGAGCTGAAAGTACAGCAACAATGAGACACGAAAACATTTTGTGCTGCACAGATGCTGTGCCCATAAGAACCAGCCTGAAATGCCTTTCCTTCAAGATTTAGCTATTTCATAATTATTCTAAAGAACTACCAATGACTCTATTTCTCCTGCCCCACCTTAGACCCCCTAAGTCTACAGGACTCAATGGCTGTTTCCCTGGTCACCTCTAATGAGCGACAGCATGGAAGGTGGCAGGACATCTCAGCTAAGCAATTCAGGCCCTGCCTTTAAAAGCATCTGATTTTCATTTTTCCTCTGGCATTTTCACACATATCCTTTTACAAACTTGATTCATTTCTTTTTAGCTCTGAAAAAAATGTTCTCTGGCTGGAATGAGAAGTCAGGAATGTGGGAATTCATACATTGCGTGCATGTGTGGTTAGTGCTGTGTGTGCCATTTGCACACATCACTGACTGGGGAAGTTAAATCATTTTTGGATACAGTTTGTGGCAAGAGCACCCAATGTGCCAACTCCAGGTCTTTGAAGTAACATTCTGGACAACCTGTTATTGAAGCATTTCTTGCCAACCTAAAGTAGAGGAAGTACCCATTGAAAGAGGAATATTTTCCTTTTCTTGCTATTCAAGCCACACAGGGACATTCTTTCAACTCATCTGAAAAAAAGAACTTCTCAATGTTTTTTATTTTCCTTCCATCTGGTGAGGACATAATGACTTATGATATAAATATTTTCTCTTAAGTTCTCCTCTTGCCTCTCATCTCTTCTAAAGTAGGATTTTATAAACATATGTGTAAATTAGAGATGGTTAGTGGAGGCAGATACAGTTAAGAGAAGAACCCACTTCAAGGGGTGAATGACTGGCTTAGAGATAAAAGCTTAGAAGGATAAGTTGACCCTCTCACTCACAGGACTAAGGGTTCCTGTCCCAAGTCCAAGTAGAGGCTCTGGGAACTCAAGCATGCTGCTTCCCCTCTGGACATTGGATGGATAAAATAAAGATAATGACCACTGTGGCGTCTGCCCCTTCCACAGGGCTGTCCTGAAGGCTTAGCTCATCAAACAGGGGGAAGAGGACTCTGCAGCACCAACCACACATTAACAGTTTGGCTGACAGTAGATTCTCTCCTTTGTTTCCCAGGGTTAATGGATTTGTGGAGAGTTTTTTTTTAACGGTTTGTCCTACTGGGTTTATAATGTGCTGAAAAAGTCAAAATCCACATGATAAGAGAATTTTAAAAGGCCTATCAACTCCAGCTGGTACATCAAGGACATTAGATTTTTACCACTGCTAAGAGTTCTTCAAACCAACAACTGGTTGAAGCAACCAGCAGCCTTGTCCTGGAGAGAGACAGGGTTTCATTTTCATTAGCTCCCTGATTCCCAGCTTTGCACCACGGCTTTCTGATTAACTTCTGGTTTTGTTGAGAGAGACATAGGGGCATCCAGTTTACTTAACTGACTGTGGTTGAGAGTTGTGCCGTCCAGTGTCCAGTGAGGCTGAGGAGCTGTTCCTCAGACCCTTCCAGGCACATAGTTTCTCTCTCTGCCCTCACCCTCACAGAGGCAAGGAAAAGCCTCTGTCACCAGAGCCTGCAGGGGGCTAGGTTGCCCACACGGCAGCCTGGCTGAACCTCTTCCTTCTAGTCTGGAAACCGAATCCAAAAGGTGCTGACTCTGTGCTCCGGAGAAAAGCACAAAGAGGAGGTAGTCAGATCTGGCCAGGAGCTAAGTGGTTGTTGGAAGAAACAAAGAGACTGACCTACATTGTTCCTGGCTTCCTCATCAGCTCAAAAAGGTGCTGGCTGAGAAACCTTACCCAGACACCACCTGGGTAGCTGGCTGTTTCTTGAGAAAAAGGAAATGCTTTCTCTGAGTATCACATGTAACAATACTGTCTAATGACTCTCAAGAGCACCTGCCATTCACCTGTGTCCTTTAATATTCCATTATCGTAGTAAAATCTGTTCTTGTTTTTTTTTAAAACTCACCAATCCTGTAACCCTATTCTAACCAGTCATCCCCTGGGATTCAGAGAGATGAACTACCAGCTGTGATATAGGGGCACAGCCTAGGGTCCACCTGGACCCATTGTTTCCTTTGCCACTTCTGTTAGTGTAAGGAGAGCTCACAGCGTCTGGATGAAATTTCCACTAGAGGCACCTGCTGACGACGTATGGATCCTTGTTTGCAAATCCCCTTTCTACATCCCTGACATTGACCAACAGATCCCCCTACCCTGAATCAGAAAATGATTCGCAATAGCCCCAAATAAGGGTGGTGATTCTAAGATCTACCTGTTTCTCTCAACTTGTACACATTTACAAATTACCACTAAGATGATAAAGTCGTCTTTCTAGAAAAATCCCAACCCTCTGGCAACTTAGTTGTCCTTGTGTTCCTACCCAGGTACCTAAGATGCCTTTTGCTTTGGGATTCCTGCTGGCTGTAAGAGGGGCCAGCATGCCCTTTGCAGTGCACAGCCAGAATGTGGGTCTTACAGGTGGGAAGATGGCCAGCTCTCCAGGGAGACAATCTAGGCAAGGACAAAGGTGAGTGGAGGAAACAGAGGCAGAGCCTGAAACTCACGCTAGCTGTTCTCTAGCAAGTTCATTAATGGAGTCTTGTCAAGAGGTTCAAAAAACTCCAGTGCCAAGTGGGAGCCTCTCTGTGATGCCAGGAGGGCTGCTTCTGCTGGAGGGTGACGGCTTTCGGGGAACAACAGGAAGGAAGCTGTAGGAGCTGGCATTGTCAGTCCTATTTTACAGATAAACGACCGGCAGGCCAGAGAGGCTAAGTAACTTGCCCAAGACGAGGCTGATCGCAGGTTCATAGGAGCAGTGAGACATGAGCTTGGACTCAAGTTCCAAAGAATATGCTTAGATCATGAAACCAGATCTTCTCACGCTTGCTTTGAAGTCCTTCCGGGGACAGAAGAGAGAATTCAAACCCTGCTGGTGGTGGCAGTGGCAGTTGTGGTGGGGCACCGGGAGTTGCAGCTTCCAGCGTTGTAGCGTGCCGTTGTTCAAAGCAAGTGCTAATCTTTAAGGTCTCATGTTTTACCTTAAAAATGAATAACAATGTTGCAATTAATCTCATACTATATGTGTTTGCTTTAATAGAAAAATATAAGATCTCTTCCAACCCTTTAAGTATATTTGACCACCCAGAAGGGGAGGAATGTTTCGACCGTCTCCTGAGTACAAATGGCTGTTAAGAATGTATACGCTCTGGTGGTACAGGTGTCCAGTTTGAGATATGCCAGGGTAGCCAGTGCTGCTCCCTTACTGGAGTCTACAGTCACAGATGCCCCTGTATTGGGTGTGTTATCAAAGGGATTGGTGCCTTCAGTAAAAGGCTGCACTAGATGAGGCTGAATAACTACTAATTTTCCACGGGACTAAGACAATGTAATGATTAAGGGTAAGGTTATGGAGTCAGACACTTCCAGGAACTTGAACTTGGACTCCAACCCCTGCCAGCTGTGTGTTTTGAGGCACGTTACTTCCCTTTCTAAGCCTCAGTTTCCTAAGCTGTAAACAGCTGTGCATATGTTAGGCTATGGAGAGCAGGGGTGCAGAGGGCAGGTTCCATAGCTTCTTAGCACTTTCCGGTGGAAGATTGTTAGAACCTCAATGTTCAGCCTTCCAACTGATTTACAAACTCTGTCACTGAGGGACACGTCAGTTGTGTGAGAGGAAACCAGAAGACTTGTTCATAGTTGTTTTTTTAGAGCAAAATTACTTACTATATTTTCATGGCAGGAGTGAGAAAAAGTCTTAAAATGTTTTCTGGTGAAGTCAGATATTTGAACGACAAACAGTTAATGTGTTTTGTAGAGATACAATAAACCAATAAAGGGGAAAAAAAGTTAGAGAGACCCACCACCTCACAAAGGGTGTTGTGAGGATTAAAATAGGCAGTGTACAGAGAGCACGTAGCTCAGAGACCGGCACCCGTCAAGTGTTCACACACTGTGTTGGTTATTATTACCGAGGGGACTGGGACTGGTGGAAATGGGCACTCCAGCAGTCTCCTTACACCTCCCTTCCTGCGCTCCCTCCTTCTCCTGCCTTGCCCCAGGAACAGAGGTGATTGGAGCTCCACCCGGAAAAAGATGATGGACTGACGATGAGCTGTTCCCTCCGCAGCAAATAAAACGTTTGGGCTCCCTCTTTCCTGCCTGTGGTTTTGCACACCACTGGAGGGATCTCATCCCCACTAATGCATTTCCTCTGCCCTCTCACTGCTCTGTAGGTGCCCGATAATGGGCATGTGGTTTTGGCCTCGGCAAAAGGTGTTCACCAGGGTTTTCTCTGTGGTACGTACGTAGCAACACATGTAACAGTTTGACCTCCTTATGTTTATCGCAAATAATAAGAACAAGTGATAAAGTGTGGTAAGGAGTCTGGATTTTATACAGAGAAAGAGAAAAGCCAGTAAGAAAGGACATTCTTTTCATTTCTTCTCAATGAGTCAGACAGTGTAACCACATTTCTAGGCTAACTAGTCATTTGCAATGCATAGACATTTAGGGCCAGGAAGAGTCTGTCTCCTAGTTTAGCAGAGCCAAAAATCCATCACTTGTATCTGGTGCTGCTTCCCCAACTGAGTCCGGTCCCTAGCCCTGAGGGTGAGCCGTCTTCCTGCCCTGGGCTGCATCAGGACCTTCCCCAAATGTTTTCGTGTCTTCTTGTCTTCGCCATCATTATTATTCTTGTTATCATAAAACATTAATTTTGCGTTCTGTTTGCTAGAGTACTGCAATAGGCAAAATTTGTGAACAGTCGGATACCTGCCCGGAATGAATTTAGAGTATAAAGATCACAGCAAGAAGTGGGCAACTCTGAATAAAACATATTTCAAATCAGCAGCGTTACAGTGACTCCTTAGAAGGAGCTGTTCACAAGAGCGTCAGACCTTCAGTGGGAAAACAGGTAGCCAGTGAGTTCCTTACTGTGGAGGAATCTTTTGTTTTTGCTGAACACTTTCATTCCCACAACTACCATTTCTGTGTAGCGAAAGGGGCCAAAAAAGATCTTTCTGATGAAAGTTCATTAAGAGTGTCATTGTAGGAGCGACAAAAATGCTAGTAAGTGGAGCTCCTTATCTGGGGAATATTTCCTCGGGGTGGAAATCAGCTATTCTGCCAAGAGAACCTGGGGAGCGAGTGGGAGGGTTTCACATGTTATGTAACTGAGTTTATTTATTTCTGGAGCTCGGGGTGTGACGCACGGCTGCCTTTAACCACATCTGCTCTATTTCCATACTGGCTACCTCATTCCTGGGCTGAGGGGAACAGGCTGTATTGTACTGGGTAAGAAGGCTTTAAGAGGTGGTGAGCCTCCAAAATTAGCAAGATGCTCCAGTGAACCTTGTTGAACTCTGCCTGGAAATAAACATATTGATCTGGAAATTTAAAGACACTATCAGTTACACCAATCTATTGCGTTTGGATTCCCATTCACAAATGCATCTGAAGCCTCTTTGCCTTGTTTATTGCAGTTTTCCTTTCCTAGTGAAAGTCTCCTTTTTAATTTTATTCAGTTAAAATAAGTAAAGACCAGACTTTCTTAATGAATTTGTAATGCAAATTCTGTACGCTTCGAACTGAAAACCCTAACGAGTTATGACTCTGTGTTTGGGAAATTCACATCCCTCCTAGGGTTTCCCCAGCCCTCCTGGCAAGCACTTCTCCCTCCTTTATGTGGCTCTGCTGCCTACATGGTTCTGAATGTATTCCTTCCATCTCCATATAGCTGGGGCTTGATCTGCTTTCTTAAAAGTTTCCTCTTTCAGTTCAACTGACAACTGTGAAAGTATAATTTTCAAAAAGGTAAAAATCACGATTCTCAGGCACATATGAAGCAAGCACATGACAATGATTCTATTTAACTCACCAATTGATGGAGGAGCCAGTAAGATGTTAAAACCAATCCAAAGAGCACTTGAAATGTTACCCGTATAGTCAATTTAACAAAAATATTAGGATAAGTTTTCTGGGTTAGAGACCATACTGGTTAACGTCTAAAAAGTCCATAAACATGGTTCACACTGGCAATCTATTCACTCCCAATGGAAACTATTCCTATCTCTACTGGATGAAAATCTCCATGTTAACCTCTGCCACTACAGAAATGTGGATTGTAAAAAGTTGTAAAAGAGCAACCTACCACTCTGCTGAAAGGAGACTCAGTAATATCCTTTCCAAATGCTGAGTAACTTTTCAGACACAATCCAGAGTCTCACATCATGCACACACAAAAACAACAAAAAACCCAAAAAACAAAAAAACCTCCCTTCCTAGATTCCTCATCTCTAGTCAGCTTTTCCCTCTCTCTCTCATTCCCTTTCCCTGCTAAAGCACTAGAAAAAGTTGTCTAGTTTCATTGGCTCCATTTTCCCACCTCCCATTTACTGTCCAATACACTCCAATGTGAATTTTGGCTTCATCATATTTTTTTCATTTTTTGTTCTGGTTACCAGTGAATACTTGTTTCTAGATTCAAATAGTATTTTTTATTCCTTATCTTACCCAACCTTTCAACAGGTTTTTTTTTCATTTATTTTTTTATTGCAGTAACATTGGTTTATAACTATATAAATTTCAGGTGTACATCATTTTTCAATTATTGTGTAGATTACAACATGTTCACCACCCAAAAACTAATTACAATCCATCACCACACAGATGTGCTTAATCACCCCTTTTGTGCCCCTCTTTCCCCCCTTCTCCTCTGGTAACCACCAAACCAATCTTTGTCTCTATGTGATGGTTTGCTGTTGCTTTTATCTCCTCATGTGAGTGAGATCATATAGTATTTTACTTTCTCCCTCTGAGTTATTTCACTCACCATAATACCCTCAAGGTCAATCCATGGTGTCATAAATGGCCAGATTTCATCATTTCTTATGGCTGAGTGGTATTCCATTGTGACTATATACCACATCTTCTTTATCCATTTGTCCCTCGATGGACGCCTAGATTGCTTCCAAGTCTTGGTTATTGTGAATAATGCTCTGATGAAAATAGGGGTGCATGTATCTTTATGCATTTGTGTTTTCATGTTCTTTGGATAAATACCCAGCAGTGGAATAGCTGGATCATATGGTAGTTCTATTCTTAATGTTTTGAGGAATCTCCATACTGCTTTCCATAGTGACTCCACCAGTTTGCACTCCCACCAGCAGTGTACAAGTGTTCCCTTCTCTCCACGTCCTCTCCAACATTTGTTGTTTCCTGTCTTGTTAATTATAGCCATTCTGATGGGAGTGAGGTGATATCTCATTGTAGTTTTGATTTGCATTTCCCTGATAGTTAATGATGTTGAACATCTTTTCATGTGTCTGTTGGCCCTCAGTATATTTTCTTTGGAGAAATCTCTGTTCAGATCTTTTGCTCATTTTTTAATTAGCTGTTAGTTTTTCTGTTGTTGAGATGTATTAGTTCTTTGTATGTTTTGGATATTAACTTCTTATCAGATATATGGTTTGCAAATATCTTCTCCCAATTGTTACTTGGTCTTTTTGCTTTGTTGTTGGTTTCCTTTGCTGTGCAGAAGCTTTTTGGTTTGAAGTAGTCCTATTTGTTTATTTTTCCTATTGTTTCCCTTGCCCAGTCAGACATGATATTTGAAAAACTGCTACTAAGACTGATGTCAAAGAGTGTACTGCCTATGTTTTCTTCTAGAAGTTTCATGGTTTCAGGTCTTACATTCATGTCTTTAATCCATTTTGAGTAGACTTTTGTGTGTGGTGTAAGATAATGGTCTACTTTCATTGTTTTTCATGTGGCTGTTCAGTTTTCCCAGCACCATTTGTTGAAGAGACTTTTCTTTCTCCATTGTGTGCTCTTGGCTCCCTTGTTGAAAATTAACTGTCCATAGATGTGTGTGTTTCTTTCTGGGCTCTTGATTCTGCTCCATTGATATGTGTGTCTGTTTTTGTGCCAGTACCATGCTGTTTTGGTTACTGTGGCTTTGTAGTATATTTTGAAATCAGGGAATGTGATACCTCCAGCTTCATTCTTTCTTCTCAGGATTCCTTTGGCTATTCTGGGTATT